TATGCTTCTATTCGATAGTAATGGAATGTTGATGATGTGAGTCTCAGAAATGACCATTCCATTGAATGTCAAGAAGAGACAGTTGTTGATCATTGCCAGATACTTGTGCTTTGTGAATAGGACTGAACTCTGTGCAATTAGGAATAGCAATGAGGACTCTCATGCCACACCCTTCATTTTGTGTGTCTGTGCAAGACGTACAAGTTATGGAGGTGAGCCTTGGAAGCTGGCTGTAACCATGATTCAGTGAGTATCTCATGTTGGGCTGTTGTCTGACTAATCTGGGAGACAGTTTTCCTAATTTTGGGATAAGTTCCCAGATATTAGTCAAGACTTTTCAGTTTAAACAGGGAAGTAGCTTCCTTTATAATATCTGATGATTAAATCAATGTCAGGTGGTCCGGTGGTCTTTGGAGATAGAATGTCCAAATATAATTAATCCATTTGAGCAAAAATTATTTTAATTCTCAAGTTTGAAGTGAGATGCATAAATATAAATTGACAGAGAATTTTGATGTCATAGTACAAAGTTAATTTATACAATTAAACCTTTTCATTTTAATATGCTAAGTAGATAACTAGAATCATTTACTATCTCTTTTGTCCACTTGATTAATTTTAAGATAACCCAAATGGAAACATAAACATACTTATCATATCACAGACATCTTTCCACAAAAGCACTTTCACTTCTGGAAATGGCCAGCCAGCGACGTCTCTGGAGATGGGACGTTTTTAATCTCCAGCAAAAATTTCAAGCACTTCCTCGTCTGATGATACCATGATGCGATGCAGTGTGATATGGTGGTGACCTGCAACTATTTTGGTTAACAGCCAGTGCGTGAAAATGAGATACAGGACACATAGTATTGAAGAATCTTTATAACAGCATATATTATCTGCATATGTATACTAAAGTGACAGGCACTTGGTGTCTGGGGTTAAAGTAATTCGGATGTACCATAGCAAGCTTTCCTCAGCGTGTCACGCTGCAAGAGAACAGGGATCAGAAATACACCAAAAGAGAAATTGCTGGAAAAGCTCAGCAGGTCTGGCATTTTATGGAGAGAAATCAGAATTAATGTTTCATGTCCAGTGACCCTTCCTCAGAACATTCTGAGGAAGGGTCACTGGACCCAAAACATTAATTCTGATATCTCTCCACAACGCTGCCAGACCTGCTGAGCTTTTCCAGCAATTTCTGTTTTTGTTCCTGCTTTCCAGCATCCGCGGCTCTTTCTTTTAGTTTTACTTGTTACATTCTGTCACCATGTCCTCTCTTCCCTCCCTCCACCCCAGTTTGAATGCCTGTTCCTTCCAGTCTGGCAGTTAGAAACACCATTGTTCTGCCATTCTCGCATTCCAATTACTTAGTCTGAACTATCAACGTCCTTTCTCCCCCAGCACTCTACACAATACCACCCCCATATAAACCCCCCAACTATAGCATAAATGTTGCCCTCTCCACACTTTATTTGAGCTCTGACGAAGAGTCATCTCGACTTGAAACATTAACTTTCTCTCTCTACATGGGTGCTGTTTGTTCCGCTATATTCTCCAGCATTTGTTATTTACAGGGTAATTACTTGCACTGGAAGATGAGACAGCAGGTGAATTGCATAAGGCATGGTGTAAAGTTATGTCTGGGCTTTGGTTGCTTCACCTTTCTAACTGCAATACCTTAATGCCACCTTGACAACTGTGACTAAGTTTGAGGAAGCTTGGTGACTGCTTTACTGCTTTGCTGGCTTCTTTCAGATCATTTTGCCAGATGTCCTCTAGTGCTCTGGGTCATCAAAGATTGTAGTCTGCTAGGGGTCCACAGTAAATGTAGTGCATCCTCTTTGACTTGACTTGATGCAGATGACCTTCTGTTTTCATCCCTAGAGAAAAAACATTTCCCTTCTCTTCTGGGCAGCCTTCAGCGCACCCTCTATGGGCACGTCAATAACATGCTGTTCTACTTTTTGCCTGATCTCTGACAGCTCCAAGATTGACAACCAGAGGTTATCTGTGTTTTTTTAATTCACCGGATTTGGGGTGTTGCTGGTTAGGCCAGCATTTATTCTACCCATCCCTATTTGCCTAGAGAGCAGTTGAGAGCCAACCACATTGCTGTGGGTCTGGAGTCACATGTAGGGCAGGCCAGGTAATGACAGCAGTTTCCTTCCCTAAAGGACATCAGTGAACCAGATGGGTTTATCCCAACAATAGCTTCACGGTGGTCATAAGATCCTTAATTCTAGATTTTTTTTTAATTGATTCCAAAATCCATTATTTGCCATGTCGAGATTCAAAATCTGGGTCCTAAAGAACATTACCTGGATTAATAGTCTAGCGATAATGTCACTAGGCCATTGCCTCCCTGTGTGCTGTCTGGGTTTATTTTAAATATGGAAGTTCGAACCTGAAAGGTCCCAGTATGTGTGCAGAACTACTTGCCCATCTATACTAGTTGGTATTATACTCATATATGCACATGCAATAAGCTAAAGAATATAATTGTGTGAGAAAACCAAATGTAAAGCCCCCACTGCCCCCACGCCTTAGGGGAAGACCTCCCACTTTTAGGTCCATATCCACATAATCTTAAAAAATCAAGATTCTGCTCCATGGCATAGCTGGAGTTCTGGAAGTTATCAGCTTGGTTTCAGTTTTAAACCATAACAATAGGCTTTGGAAACCAAGGGCACAGTCTGATGCTTTAACCCAGTACCCCTAGGAGGCAGATGAAGATATGTACAGAGCTGTGGAATGAAAAAAATTGGATAGCAATTAAGCCAAAACGACCCTTTGAAATTTTGTACCTCATCAAATAGCTGGAACACTGAAGAGAAGTCAGAGTCAATGCTGGAAAGCAGTGAAATACATTTTTCTGTTAATTCCAGGAATAAGGAATGAGCTTTAAAGGTAAATTGGGAGCAATTAGTATGTTCAGTAGCAATGAGTCTGGAGCACAAGTCTTTGTATGCTATAGTCTTGTTATGATTACTTTAACACTTTTTGATATACAGTAAATAATTGTTATTGTTTAAAAACTGAAGATTGTGGGAAGCTCGGGAAGTGATTGCTGGGCCCCTTGCTGAGATATTTGTATCATTGATAGCCACAGCTGAGGTACCAGAATACTGGAGGTTGGCTAAAATTGTGCCATTATTTAAGAAAGGTGGTAAGGAAAAGCCAGGGAACTATAAACTGGTGAGCCTGATACCAGTGGTGGGCAGGTTGTCTGAGGGGATTCTGAGGGACAGGATTTACATCTATTTGGAAATAGTGGCCTCCCACTCTCTCCCTATTTATTTCAGAACCCCCTTCCCCTCCCCTTTTCTGATGAAGGGTCTAGTCCCGAAACGTCAGCCTTTCTGCTCCTATGATGCTGCTTGGCCTGCTGTGTTCATCCAGCCCTGCACCTTGTTGTCTCGGAATCTCCAGCATCTGCAGTTCCTACTATCTCTCACTAACTTGACTGAGTTTTTTGAAAAAAGTGACTAATAGGATTGATGAAGGCAGAGCAGTGCACGTTGTCTAAAGGGACTTCAGTAACGCATTCAACAAGGTTAGATCACACAGAATAAAAAGAGAAAGAACTGCAGATGCTGTAAATCAGGAACAAAAACAGAAGTTGCTGGAAAAGCTCAGCAGGTGTGGCAGCATCTGTGAAGGGAAATCAGATTTAACGTTCCGGGTCGAGTGACCCTTCCTCAAAAAAATATTAATTGGCTTTCAAAACCTGTACAACACCCGGCAGCAGTGCAAAACGGGACACAAGTGTATTTTATTGTTTATAAGTGCTGCTGCCATTGCAGTTTGCTTTTTCCTTAGTTAAGATTGGTTTCTCGTGGAACTAGGATAATAATTACAAACGCATCCGATAATCGCTTTCAGTGAAATTGCACCGCGCATCTACATCCTGTAGCTGGTATCCATCACTCATTCTTTGCGTAACTTTCTCAGATATATCTAGAGCAGAACAAGTTTTTCTACGACTGGAGGAACCTCAAGTTGCACAATTAGCATGAACACTGCGGAAGCGTCTTTGTTTGGTGGATTCTTTCAGAGAAAAAAAGAGTTGAAGCGACACTGACGAGACTTTGTGTGTTTCCCGTAGAAGGCGTGGTTTCTAGCCGGGTTTACGCTGCCCAGTGACTGATCCTGAAGGGCGAAAAAGTCGTAAATTTGGGGAATTCCTGTGAGGAAGTGACTGAGAGAACAGCTTTCTTTCTCTCTCTCTCTCTCTGGCGTGGCGTTTATACCTTTTCGCTCCAGCAGCGTGTGTGCGAGATTGAGTTATGCGGGAGGGGGCGTTCTCCTGTGAAAATGTTTAGTTTC